AAGTTTTTATTTTTTTTTCTTGTTGGCAACGAGCAGACGGTCCACCTTCGCTACGGCTACCGTCGCTCATGAACACCTGCAATACTTTTAAATATTCGTATTTATATATTATTGTTTTCTTTGAATAAAAATATCATGTATTTATATTTCTTATATACAGGGTGAAATTTAAATCATAACTCTTTTATACCAGTGAAATTAAACATATTTAACCGACTTCAAAAAGAAAAACATTCTCAGTTAGATTGTATTTTTTTATGTTTCTTATCCCATAACTGAGCTTGTTGTAAATTGTTTTGATTTTTTTTTATTTAAAACGTTATACTTATAGATTGATCCCATGGAAATTTAGTAGTCGTTTTTATTTTAAACTAGAATAACTAGTTTTGTCACAAATGAAGTCGTTATCTTTTGTGGGACACAATCTTTAATTATATACTGTTTTTTTTTTATACATCTTAGAATGGCAAACAAGCTGACGGCCCACCTGATGGAAAGTGGTAACAGTCGCCTATAGACATGAGCAGTACCATGGACATAACAGAGTATACTGTTTCGCCCATGATACCCCCCATGCGTTGCCATTCCTGAGGATTCAGGTATTATTCATCTGTACCTAGTAAATTCACTATTATTGGAGGAAAATATTCAACAAATTTTATTTTTTATTTCGGTACCGTCAAAGGAAAATTCCACACGGTTATCGAAGTCGACAATCATCGGTTGTTATTCGTATCTCTTATCCATCGATACATATAAAAATGTATACGGCGATGCAATAAAATTAAGTGCCGTCCCATTACGGTCACCTGTATCCAGTATGAAAATAAAATACCCATATTTTATATTCACCGTGAAAATTTTATGTCGTCTCTTTATTGGTTGAACGTTGATGGAATCAATAACCCCTTTCCAATTTTATTATTATTGCAAACGTTTTATTTAATTTTATTTTTTTGGTTTATCTGCTCTTAGAATGTCACAGGTCACCGGGGTTGAAAACTGATGATGTTTTATTTCGTTGAGAAATTACCAGAGAGAGAATTTGGACAAAAGTCGTTTGCTTGGCCATCTCTGTCCCATTCGTGTTTTGGCATTAAGTCCGCCATGTACACACACATGTACAAATGTATAAACTATTATTATTATTATTTCAGCTGTCAATTGTCCATTGCTGAAGATAAGCCTTCCTCATAAGGGAAGTTTTGCCATGCCTGACAGGCGGGTAACCGCAACCGCAGTTAGACTTTTACAGATGTTTTAAGATATATATAACCATAAGTTTCCTTAATCGCCTCTTACAACACCCACGGGAAAGGAAGGGATGATCCATTCTACGCCGGAACTTATACGGCAAATGAATTAATTAATAAATAAATTTATTTATTTTTTATTTGAAAGGTATATTTATAGATTAGCCCTATAAAAACTTTATCATTATCTATTAATAAAATATATAAAAAACAGCACTGAAGTCGGTTTGCTAAGCAATGATCACGAGTATGTGCTCTGGGCAAAAAATGAAGCTAGGACCCAAGTAGAATCGTATTTAAACCACATGGATGGAGAGAATGCTTCGATCGAATGCATGGATGTTTTGTATAAGGTTATGCAAATGGATTTACGATAAAGCTTCCAACGATTCTGGTGGAATACGCAGAGTTCTGCCAAGCGTTCGATTTGGCAAAGATTTTGTGGATTTTCGGGAAATCTCATTTCCGCGCAAATATAAAATTTACCTGATCGAAACTTCCTCGATGAGGTAACAATACCATTATTATAATAGAAAAAAAGATGCCATTGTTAGTAAGAAGAGAATGTTGAAGTGTTCTGGTTCTGGTTTAAGATTTTGCAAAACTTCTGAATGATCTCGGAAATTAGTGAATATATCATGTTATAACATATAGAAAAATGTATATTTTTTTATGCAACTTACAATGGCAAAAAAGCTGACTGCTCACCTGATGGAAAGTAGTAACCGTCGCCTATAGACATGAGCAGTACCATGGACATAACAGAGTATACTGTTTCGCCCATGATACCCCCTATACGTTGCTATTCCTGAGGACTCAGGTGTTATTTCTCTGTACCCAGTAAATTCACGCCATATCTCACCCTTCAAACCGAAACACAGCCATGCAAACCAAGTAACTGGTAGAAATACGAATGGGATAGAGATGCCAAAGCAAAAGACTTTTGTACAAAGTCTCCCTCTGGTACGTAAACTTTGAGCATCTTTTCATTTATCGATTAAAAATAATCGATAAAGAAAGAAAGAAGAAAGAAAGAAAGAAAAATATTTTATTCAGTGCAATGTAAAAAATACAATATAAACAACAAACGAGAAAAAAAATGAGCAAATAAAATGTACATATAATTAAACTTAATTTACCATAATTAAAAATTAACATAAAATAATCATTTTTACATCCAAAAATGCACTGAAATGGCTCCACTCAGCTTTAATGTATGTCCTAGGTGAACATACAGCTGGTTTTCAGTGGCACCAAAAATATATATATAAAAGGGGGGAGAGAGAGGGCACTATTTATAATATTCATGATAATAATTAAAACAAAATTACAACTAATAAATACAAACCAATTACATATACTAGAAAGAACAAAATAGAATAAAATAACATTAATAAATATAAACATTAAACATATATATACAACTACTTTGCCGTAAGATTTATAGGTTAAATAGTACATAGATAATTCTTGTATAGTTTTTTAAAGGTGAATAATGATTTGGCGTTCCTAACTGGCGGTGGAAGATTGTTCCAGCATTTCGTAGCAGCGTACTGGAAGCTACCACGAAAAACAGCTGTTCTGTATCGTGGACAAAGTAAAAGAGAATTTATTCTTATGTTACGCTTTGAAAAATTTAATTTATCATACAGATATGAGGGCTTTTTACTGTGTATTACGCCAAAAAGCAATGAAGCAAAATGTAAATTTCGACGTGCTGTCATATTTAACAAGTTATTCTGTTCCAAAAAGGGAGTGATATGAGCACGACGAGCAATAGGAAAGCAAAATCGAGCACATGCGTTTTGGATACGTTGTATCATTTTCTTAGTTCGAGCTAAAAGGCACTCCCCAAACACATTATCAGCGTAATTAAACTTAGACAACACTAACGCTTCGCACAGTTTGATTCGAATATCAACAGATAAGAATTCGCGCAGCCTGTACAGTACTTTTAGTCTGTAAAAACAATTACGCATGATATCCAAAATATGTTTTTCGAATTGTAATCTCTCGTCCATAACAAGACCTAAATTTCGTGCATATGTCACTTGTTCTATATGATTTCCAGAAAAAACGATTTGTGGTTTACGTGCATTAATATCAGTTACTTGACGTTTGGAGCCCAATAATATGAACTTCGACTTACTGGGATTAACAACTAAACAATTTTGTTCACACCAAGAGGCTAAGCGATTCAGATCTTCATTTATTCTATTTACTACCGACTCAGTTGTATCCGGTTTTACAGATATGTATAATTGAAGGTCGTCAGCATATAAATGATAATTACAATTTTGAATAGTGTAAGTAATATCAGTCGTATACAAAATAAAAAGGATAGGCCCTAGTATAGATCCCTGTGGGACTCCTCTGTTTACAGATAATGTAGCAGAGGTTGACACATTGCCACTGTCATCATTAGTTTCAACATACTGTGTGCGGCCGTAAAGATAGCTGGCAAACCAACGCAAAGCATTATTATCAAATCCATAAAAGGCTAGCTTTGATAATAGGAGTGAGGTATTAATAGTCTCAAATGCACGTGAGAAATCTAGCAGTGTTAATATTGTACCATTACCACCATCCCGCGCAGTCAAAATATCATCCACCACATCCAATAAAGCAGTGGTAGTACTACGAGACTTTCTGAAACCGGATTGTTTTTTAGGTAAGATACTGTTTGATTCGAGGTATCTTGTCATTTGTATACAAATAGCCTTTTCAACAACCTTAGACATAAAAGGTAGAACATTAATAGGCCGTAAATCTTTAAAATCCTTTGGATGTTGCGTCTTTGGAATAGGTCTAACTTTGGCTAATTTCCATAAATCAGGAAACACACCGCTTTCAATACTTTTATTTACTATGGCAGGTAATAAACAACTAGGTTCACCTAGGTTAGTAGATCAAAGTCACTGGTCAGTCTTACGTAGTTGTTTTGAACAATATTATTTTGTTGTCTCTAAAGTTAATTTGATGGGAAGAAGAGGTTCTTAGTATTGGCCATTAGCGTCTCATTGTTAGCAATATACCTTATCAGATGGTTTTCTAGAAATAACCGTGGTTAATTCCTGGTACTTATTTCCGGGTGGATGTCTCAGGAACTTAATGGGATGGGCAGCAGTCTTCTTAAAACGTCTAAAAACTTAACTGCGGTTTCCGACCTGCCTGCCAAGCGTAGCAGCTACTGGCAAAACTCTCCTTATGGGGAAGGCTTATGTTCAGCAGTGGACAGTGATGTGGACTGAAATGAAGTGAAATATTCATTTGCTTTAGACAGACAGTTATCATGAGGGTAGTCCGAGCTGTCAAAGGGATTGGACATGTTTTGAACGTCTTAACAGTTTTTTTAAATAATAAATAAATATACCTAGAGTGCAGTAAATAGGATATATATTAATTTGTTACTCGATTATATTGCTTCAAATTAGTGTAAATAGCACGACTATATACGTAGTAGTTCAAGTGTAAAGTGAGTGGAATAAGTATACAAGTCATAGACCGCAACTACCTACCTACACAGTTAATCATTATACGTATTTTATGTTCACAATTTCAAAAGTTTATTAATTGTTGAAAGTGTAAACAACCTATCGCGACAGTTTGTCATCACACAACGCGAAATATTGTGCAGCTTTCTATTTTGTGAACGTACTTCTATCAATATCGGAGTTTGTTCGGCCTCTGCTGATTGCTTCACCGCATTTTCTAGCATTATAGCTTCGGCACCAATTTACTGTCGGGATGTCTTCTGGAGTGATGCGATGTGCTGGATGTTTTAAGAAAATCGAGAATAATCTGTTTTTGAGCTGCAGCATCTGTAAACAAGCTTACGATCTCCATTGTGCTGATGTGGCCGAGAAATCATTCTGCAATGCCATGTCACACGAGCATCGTGCCGCATGGAAGTGCCCCTTATGTGTCAGTAAACAGCCTAAAACTGACAATACTGATACGCCAGTTCGTACTGTGACTCAAGGGGTTATGACTCGTAGAGGAGCTGCCGCAGTCAGTCCAGTGGATCAGCTCAACATGTCTATCGTGTCGGATGCCCCTATGCGCGGGGATTTAGATGATATAACGGACACACAGATGCTGGCGCTCGAGATACGTCGTTTCAGAGAAGAGTTGTCTGCATCACGAATCCAAATGCAATTACTCAATGAGAATATGGCTAGGTTGTCGACAGGGCTGGATAATTGCAATGCCCGCGTTGATCGACTGTCTATTCGTGTTGACAATTTAGAACGTCAGATCTGCGAGGGTAGCTCGAGTGCTACATCATGTGAGGATACGCTGATGAAGGCTATTGAGCAGCTTAAAGCAGAACTAAATGATCGGGACCAGGAACTCCTTCTCAATGACATTGAAATATCTGGTGTCCCGGAGCAGAAAGGTGAAAATGTGACACATGTTACACTAACGCTGGCAACTAAATTAGGAATTAAACTGTCTGAGGAGGATGTGGTTAGTGCGTCACGAGTGGGGTCGGTGCTGAGGACCTCGGATGGACCCACACACCAACTACGGCCCCGGCTTATCGTGGTTCGGTTGGCCAGGCGTACTCTGCGTGATCAGTTCCTTCACGAAGCCCGTATACGCCGCGGTGCCACCACCGGGGACGCTGGCCTTCCTGGCCCATCTTGTAGATTCTATGTAAATGAGAGACTTACTAGAATTAACCGTTATGTGTTTCATCAGGCCCGTGATGTCGCTAAGCGGTGTGGTTGGAGGTTTGTTTGGACTAGAAACGGTAAAATTTTTGTGCGTCATAATAATGAAAATGGTACTGTTCGTCACCGTATCGGCTCAGTACCTGATCTTGTGAGGGTTTTTGGACAGGACAATGTTAGTTCAATTAAAATCTAGTAATAATACAATTATTGGTCATTTTAGCATTGAATTATTGTATAGCTACTTGTTCTGTGCGGTGGCGGAGGGGGTTAATATTAATATTTTCAGGCCATTTATTTGTATTATTGACTGCCACATATTTATAAATTTACAAATTTTGATATTAAGTTTTTATGATTTTTATTACACAGTCATAACAGGCCCTAATAAACAAATTATATGTACTTATTATAATTATGAATTCAATCGCTTTAATCTACTTAGTACTATTATTGTAGTAGCTAATATTTTACCTCATTATATACGCCGACTGTATAAATGCACCGTGAAATGCTACATGCTCGTAATCATTATCTTACTAATATTTTATTCGCCAATTTCTTACAAAGTTATAATAACATGTTTTAAAATAATATATCAATGCTTCTGTTATACTTGTGAATTGTTTAATTTACTACCTCTTAGAGCTGTTACAATAGACGAAATAAATATCTGCATATATGTGATGCAGCTATTTAAATACACTATATGTCGGCACATTATATTCTTTTTGATAATTATATTTACGACTATTTACTTTAATCTCATAAAAAGGAAATTTAAGAGAGGATATGGATATTTTTTTATTTTTTATTTACCGATTGAGCTGTTATTATTTATTATTATTTGTTATCAGAATGTGTGTTATGCCAATTATGTCACAAACATGTATATATATCAAAAACCATCATGTTATTTGTTAATCTATTATTTGTTATATATTTGTGACAATACTATATATGTAATCCTGACAAAAATCTTACTTTTATCGTTTTTTACTTCTTACAAATATACCGCAATAATGTATGCTGTAACAGCAATGCAAAATTATAGGGAAGGAAACCATCACAGTACAATGTTGCTCCTGATGTATCGTGCGCTCTCGTTTGTATTACCTGATATTATATTCCACACTAACTTTTTTACCATGCTTAAATGTAACAGCAAGCACACATGTATTACTGTCACTCGTCGAATGGCATCCCTAACAGTCACTTACCTACTATGTGAGTATTTATTTATTTACATATATTTACAGAAATACCCACATATCAGCAAATTAATCATTATATTATTTATACTCAAATACCCTTATTGTATTTATGTATTTATCTTTTTGTACCGTACTCGGCCTAATCCCTAAAAATAAATACCTCAAATTAGGTCTTTACAATGCCGGCTCGTTAAATACAGGTCATGATAATTTCCAAGTGGCTATGACACAGTATAATGCTGACATAGTCGCAATAAATGAAACTTGGCTGCGACCGGGCCAGGAGGGATGCGCACCCGCTGTACCTAATTACCGACTGCTTAGTACTCCTCGCCCTACGAGAATGCGTGGCGGCCGAGGAGGAGGTGTAGCATTTTACGTCAAGCGTGAACTCCGTGTACGTATTCTTAAGCATTCGGAAGCAGATATTGAACAAATGTGGCTATCTATGTGCGTTAATGGATATAAAATTCTTATAGGAACCGCTTACAGACCACAATGGGTCAATTTAGATATCTTTTTGGATTCCTTGACGGAGTCAATTTCGTGTTTCTCCAACCATGATTATGTCGTATTGCTAGGTGACTTTAATGTTAATATGTTGGACACATTGTACTGTAATACTTCAAAAATAATTCAGTTTCTGCATTACACTGATCTTAAGCAAGTAGTTAATGAACCTACCCATTTTTCAACAGAAACAGAAACTCTAATAGATTTAGTATGTACAAATGCCGTAGTCCGTGAAGTCTCTGTTAATACCATACAAGACTCACTTGGACATGCTATGATTAACGTGGTACTCTCCTTGAAAAAAACAAAATCCTCACCCAGAGTTATTACTTATAGACCCATAAAGAATATTGATTTTGACAATTTTAATCGCGATTTAAATTCTATTGATTGGGAAGGTATTGGCGAGCTTCCGTCTGTCGATGCTATGGTTGATAGATTTAATACAACGATTAAATCATTGTATGATAAATATGCTCCAGTTAAAACACGAGTCATTAAGGATAATAAGTCTTTGCCATGGGTTACTGACAACTGTAGGCGGATGATGGATTTACGTAATGCTGCATACGATAAATATAGACGGTCAGGTTCAGAGGTCCATAAAAGTTATTACCTAGTTTTGAAGAAGTTAGTAAAGAGTAGTATAGCTAATGAAAAGAAAGCATATTTTAATTATCATCTAAATTCTCAAATTGACAATAGTAAGAGTTTCTGGAAAGCTCTTAAAAATAAAATATTAGTTGATCCCGGCAAGAGTGATTCTCTCCCTTCGTCTTTTGATAATCCTGATGCAATTAACTCTCATTTTCTTAATATTCCTAATAGACGCACTGTCCCTAATTCTGTTATAGACTTTTTTAAAAATCATCAGTTCTCAAATAATAATAAATCTTTTAGGTTGCAACCTGTACACGAAAGCGAAGTTGCTACTTATATAACATCTTTAAAGTCAAATTCGCTTGGGTCAGACGCCATTAATAGAGATATGATACTGCTTACTCTTCCTCGAACACTAAAAATTATTACAGCCATTATTAATAAGTCCATCCTCAATAATGCCGTCCCCCAACAATGGAAAGAAGCGTTGGTTACCCCATTGCCCAAAGTTACTGAACCAACTGAATTCAAAGATCTCAGGCCTATAAGTATCTTGCCTTTTTTATCGAAAATCTTGGAGAAGGTCGTACATAAACAGTTAGTGAAATATGTGGAATCGAACAACATTCTACCAGAATTTCAGTCAGGGTTTCGTAAGGGGCGGGGTACAGTAACTGCACTACTAGATGTTACTGACAATATATTATCTGCAGAGGATAATGGGTGTGGTACTATCTTGGCGCTATTGGATTTCTCGCGCGCATTTGATAGTATTAATTTATCGCTTTTACTCTCTAAGTTGTCTTATTACGGTGTAGATCCTCTTTCGATTGGATGGTTCGAAAGCTATTTAAAAGGTAGACGTCAATCAGTTAAACTTGTTAAAGCCAATGGACATTACTTAATTTCTGAATCTAAATTGGTTGATTGTGGTGTCCCTCAGGGCTCTATCCTGGGGCCGTTACTGTTTTCATTATATTGTACTGATCTTGTTAATGTGATAAAGTACTGTAGATATCACTGTTATGCTGATGACGTTCAGTTATATATATCTGAATCACCTGAAAATATTCCGTATGCCGTGTCAATGATAAATGAAGATATGGATAAAATCGCAGAGTGGTCAAGCAAAAACTCCTTAGTACTTAATCCAGATAAATCAAAATGGATGATTTTAGGAACCAAGAAACAAGTGGTTAATATCTTAAACAATAATCCATCTTTATGTATCTTGGGCAGTAATATAGAACGCGTGAAGGAAGCTAAAAATTTAGGTGTTATATTTGATGAACAATTAAGGTTCGAAAGCCATATTTCGAATGTGGTTAAGAATTGTTTCTATCGTCTAAAAATTTTATACAGAATTCGCCATTTGTTATCGGTTAAAGTTCGCATCACTTTATGCGAGTCCTTAGTTTTATCTAGATTCAATTATGGTGACCTAGTGTACGGCCCTCGTTTACTTCGTAAAACGCAGCGTTTGATACAAAAAGTTCAAAACGCCTGTTGTAGGTTTTCTTTCAACATTTCTCCTCGTAGTCACATTTCACCCTACTTGAATATGGCGTCTATGCTCAATATGGAATCCCGGCGACAATTACATTTAGCTACTTTGTTATTTGGTGTAATGAAATTTAAAAATCCGGAATATCTTCACAGTAAGTTGAAGTTCTCCACTTTTTATGATAGGTATCATTCTAGATCAGTGCGACCACCACTGTCACTTCAATGTCATAAAACTGTGGCATTTACCGGCAGCTTTCGCTATCAGGCCACGAAATGTTGGAATAATATCCCACCGCCCCTCAGAATAATGACATCTTTACATACGTTTAGGAAAAATATTAAAGAAATGCTATTAGAAAAACAAAAATCGGTGGCGGAAGCTGTCTCCCTTTGTACAGTACATTTTTATTCTTCTCCGTCGTAGTACTTAATACACCAATATATGCATACTCATATACACATATGTATTATTTATTTGCGTTTATCTTTTTAGTATATTATAAGGATTTAATTATTATTATGATTATATGTAAGTCTATTTTATTTATATTGTTTATACTGTGTTTAAAGTGATTCTTACCCATTTTTTCTCTCATATTTTAGTCTTATTACTTTTCTGTCACACCTTTAACAAACACAATTTAATTCTCTCCATCCTTGGGTTGTCTGGGAGGGATCGCTGTCTGGCGATGGGCATGCCTGCTGTTGCCTCTTTAATATGCTTTTATGTAACTAGTTGTATTTGTATAATTTGGGTATTCATTTTGTTTTGAGTGCTTGAAACTGATAGAAATTAACTTCTGACTACCCTTCTTCTAAATAGCGAGTATAACGAACGCACACTATGTATTTGATCTATATTTCTTTCTTTTTTATTATTTTTTTTTAGTGGTATTTCGCGGCTCACTTTTGGCCACAACAGAATATCAGTGTTTTGCTCTTTTTAGGGCAAAGCAAAAAGCTGAGTTGTGGCCATTTTGCATTACTGTGGCACACGCATGAAGAAAAAAAAAAAAATTATTATGCATTCTGATTTTGTTTTTGGTTTTTTTTTTTTTTAATCTTTTGTACATGTATCTTTTTTATCTTTTTTCACATTGCTTTTGTGTCTTTTGTTTGTGTGCTGTAAGTTATGCAAATAAATTATCTATCTATCTATCTATCTATCTATCTATAATAAAGACCATGCAACAGAACTTTTTGGCATCTGTTTTATTGCCTTAAAATAGTGGCCATGCAAATTTAATGTACAGAATTCTAGTGTATTGGCAGAAATGATGAATTCCTGGTAAATTTATCATGATAGGTCAAGTAACCTATCGTTACTCACTGGTATTCCGCCATTATATATTCTTAGCATAGA